GTATATGTCATGATGTTACTGTAGGCCTTTGTTGTCATCAACTATCTGAGAATACATCAGCAGCAAACCAGCAGTGTATCAGTTATCAGTTACGTGAAAACGAATATTGCAAAGATACCTGCCAATGTGAAGCACATTTACACTGTATCCTAAATAACAACGATTCAACGAGTACATCCAACACTGTCGGTTCTGAGGTAATTACATGTACTAACCATTTGCTAATGTACCAAAAAACAGGAAATGATTGAGTAGGAAACATATTTAAGATGCTATTTTGAGACTTTATTTGATGATATAATTAGCAGTGGATCGCTTACGGTGAGGGACCAGGAGGGAGCTGTTAGGAATTTGCTTTATCTTTTTTTTTAGTTTTAAAGCAAGTTTTCAGCCTCAGGTTTGGATTCATACTCAAGCTAGTTATCTTGACAAAACACTGTTGCACTAAACAGCTACATAAAAACTACCTTTTATCTGATTTTAGCTTTACTTTGTTAAATTTGTCAAATTGTCAAGCAAAAATTTCACTTTCTTAATGTAAATTTGACAAAAAAATTTTTTTTGTTTTCTCAAATTTTTGCATTTAAATCGCTCATCTTTTGTTGCTTTTCAGTTATAAGACAAAAGAAAAGTTTTTTTTTTTTTTGTTAAACATGGTTAATAATTTGTGTTTCATCTCATTGACTCTTCTTCGTTTTAGCTCTTTCTTTATTTATTTTTTAGTTTGGCGTATGCAAAAAGGTGTCGAAAATAAATTTTGGTAGCGGTAAGTATTTAGACGCAAAAAAATTAATATTTTCTAATAAACACGAAAGATGATGATGGTACAATTAATGTGTAAAATGCGATTGATGGTGAATGGTGGCGATGACGACGCTGGTAACGGTGATGCTAAAAGAAGATTTTGACAATGTTGACAACATCAATGATGATAAGTAATTGCTGTTATATGTTCTACAATTATTGTGGCCTAAATAGCGTCGAAGACAACAAGGTTTTTCTGATAAGATCATAGGGAAGAATAAGAATTAAGCTGGAAAAGAAGAAAAAGCTTACGATGATTAGAATAGGAAAAGAAAAATTAATATAGGATGAGGAAAGAGGAGAAAATTTTTTAGAAGACAAAATTCTTTATAAACCTGTTACTAAAAAAAAAAAAAAACAGTGTCAAAAGATTGATGTTTTATTTAAGTGTCAATTATTATATGTTTTTTTTTTTTCTTTTTTTTTGCTGAGGACGAGAACATTGATTACGTTTCACCTAATTGCCAAAAACAAATCCTTGTATTTGTTCAGTGGTGTATATATCTATCCGCATGAATTTCCCAGAAAGGGTTAGCAGTTGGAAGCAAAAAAAGACAAAAAAACGTTAAAATTTTAATGACTTTCTTAACAGCAGTGTTTTTTTTTT